GGTGTTTTTTCATGTCCTCTATGCTCTAACTACGAAAATATTTGATTTACAAATAAGGAATCCTACTTCGCGGAATTTCAATTATCACGGTAGGGTCTAGAACCGATTAACCGCGATAAACGAGGGTTCACTGTAGTGCATAAAATGGATTGTTTTAAAAATATACCTGGAGGCAGAAAAAAAAACACACCAGACCCAACTGCCAAGAGAAACAGGTTCTCCTTCCAGACCCACCAGTACTTGGGCTACTAAGAATATACTGAAGTTCCTCTCTGGGCCTCAGTTTCCTTTTATAAAATGAAGCTTCTCTGATCCTTTCAAGCTATGAAATACCCGTTCTGCCATTTCTCTTTGGTTTCTTCCCCAGGCTCAAAAACATGTCCTTCCATTTGTTATCGTACGGTAAGAAGAGATGGATGGTACCTGCTCTAAGATTTAGAATAAATAGATTTCTATTCAGAAAGTGGCATTCCAAATGTAAAGCCCCCAAATTCTGCATTTGGGTTTGCTTTCCAATCAAGCGATCACCTTCTAAAATTACAGTGCAGGGGATGAAATGAATGTAAGCAGGGTGCAAGGCCTCTGCTTCTGCTTGCAAGAAGTGGGAGGTAACCTGCAAGGAGTGGTAGGCAAAAAACTGCCCGTCGGCTTTGTTGCTGACAGCACTTCTTCCCTCCTCCCACCTCTCTGAGCGAGACGTGGCAGCCTGAGCTTTGGTCAAGCCCATCCTACCAAGCCCATTTCGGAAGTCGGCACAGCACGCGCACGCACACACCTACGCGGCAGCCTGTTGCTGAAGACAGAGCAGAAGGGCTGGGACGTTCACTCCAAAGGGCAAGCAGCAGCCGGATTGCTCCTCACCGCCCTCGAAGGCATTTGCTTCCTCACTCAACCCCTCTGCCACGTCAAACTTCCTCGCAGAGCCAGAGCACCAAGTTACAGAAATCTGACTCAGCTTCCAGCGGCGACATGGCAGCAAGCCACTTGGCCCGGGAGCAGGCCTAGGGTGGAAACGTGGGCAGCTCCAGTCCCACAGCGACCCCCGCCCCCTCCGCGGCCCACTGTCACCGGGCAGCGCTGACCGCCCTGCACTTCCCACCCCGGTCCAAGTTCGGACCGGGACAAATCCCAGTTACTCTCGGGATGTCCCCAAGCTTCTAAGATCCAGTTGCCATTTTTACTATGAGTAATTCAAACATCCCCTTCCTCCAGGAAGGAGGAAATTTAAGTTGTTAGGAAAAGAAAACCGCTGTCAGTGGCAGTGGAATTCCCGGGGCTCCCGAGGACCCTAAGCCGGCAGTGTGGCATCCCCAAGACACAAAGATGGGGGCCGGGGCGCCCCCCCAAAAAAATATCCACGGCCACCACCCCCTTCCCACGATTAAGCCGCATGAACTCGCTCATGGAGCAAGGTCTGAGTGTCTTCTCCCTCTGCCCCGGCCACAGGTGAGCACCTCGACCCTCGCCAGCCACCCCACCCCCCACTCGCGCCGAGCACCCCATTACTGGCCCGAGGGAGGGGGTTGTCCCGCCTGAGCGCAGCCGGGCGAGGCGTTACCTGGACCCACTCCCTCGCGCCGCTGGCTTCCGAGGGGCTGCGGCTCTGCTCCTGAGGCCGGTGGCCCCTGCT